GGAGTAAGAGGAGAAGAAAAAGAAGAGAAAGACTATAACCTAACTCAGAATCTTACATAGTGAGGATGCTGTTTTGCAAAATTTAAATTTCTCTATTATACATAGTATATAAGCATGCATGTATCAGAATATTGTACATAATCTTTTTCTTTGGTCATGATAAAACCTATCTGGAGATCTCACCTTGATCATTCTCTTGACTGTGTGAGGATGTTAGTTAGCCTCAGGGAGGCTGCTGCTCTTCCTCTCCCCATTCCTGCGCTCTCTTCACTGCTCCCTTCCTCATTCTCCCTTCTAGCTTGCCTGCCTGCTCACAGTGGCTGGCTCTGTCCCTTTCCTCACCTCCCCTTCTTCTCCCCCTTATTACCCGTCCACTTCACTGTTTTCTCTCACATTTTCTTTGGGTATTTTGTCCTCTGTTTCTCATCCTCCGTCTCAGAGACACTTAAGAGACAAGTCATACCTTAACTTTGAAGTAAGAAAGGGTCCCTTCTTTCCCCCAAGACCCAGGCTTGATAAGAGTTACACTCCCAAATTCCTCTCTTGTTCAAACTTTCCTCTGGCATCAAGGAAACCATCTCTGCTAAAAGCCTTTCTTGCTCCTCTGACTGAGGCCATTTCTTTGGTTCTGTGCCTCACCTGCTGCCTTCTCACAGGTATCCTTTTCTTGGAACTCAGAGGGTAGAATTTGGATTCGACTCATTAGTGGGTACCAGCTTCATCTCCAAAGTGTCAAAGATCTGGCCCCAAAAAAAAACTCTGGGAAGATGACCCAAATGTAGTTCTGGTTCAGCTCCTCACACCTCTCATGCCCCTGCCAAGCTTCTAACTATGCCCACAGGAGGGTGCACATGTAAGAGTATCTAGCCTTGGTTGATGGTTTCCAACCTACTTTTTTAATCCTTGGTGAAAAACAGATTTATTTCAGTACATTATTATAGGGGCACTGGATTTACTGATATATAAGAAATAGGAACGTTCCACAAATATTTATTTGAGGATTAATTGTATCTGCCTATAGTGAGCCTATACTTGGCTACCACATTCCAATTTCTATGGAATAGGAGGAGACAGAACTGAAGTGAGAGGCCAGTCTTCTGGAATTGAGTGCCTGATCTCTAGGGGATGTGAGACTACACTTTGGGCAAGGCACTGGCTGGTTCTTGGGTCCCAGCCTCCTTCTCTGTAAGGGACAGGGTTGTACTAGATCGTTAAGATGACCCTCTCAACCCGCAGCCCTTTAAGCAGAGATGTTATAAAAATGTTATTGTCCAGATTCATGTACCATCATTTCTCCCAATAACTAAAAAAGGAAGAAGTAAATATCAGATTTCAATGAACATTTTAAAAAGAGTGTTCTTACCAAGCAGGAATGTCTAATAATGAAGCAAAGCTGGTAACAAGTAAGTTTTTGAATTACAAGTTGTAAGTTAGGCCAAGCATTCTTATTTGGATGATTTATTTATGGTATATACTCTTTTGTCTAATTGTTCCAGGAAGGCTTACAAAATGTAATGTGTGTAAGTCTTGTGTAGATAAACACATTTCATGATCTTTTTATTTAGTTCTCAAGGAAAAGACTAGTGCAAAATGGAGGGAGAAGGAAAAACTAAGTATATTCCACTTCATCCTCCAATTGGGGTAAAGCCATTCTTGTGGGAATTAAATTCTACATAGTTAATTGTTCTTTTGGTGTGTAGGAATTTCTCCATTCTTGAGGCATATCATATACACCGGGATATGCCCTGCCACCCACACATACTAATCTTGTCAGTTTTCAAAGTGACACCATTTTAGATGGAGCAATACTGACTAGCTGAGATATGAAATGTATTTGCCATATAACCCTGGGCCCAGGTACTCACTTTCTAGTGGCTCAGGCAATTAGTTAGCATGAAGTTAATTTCAATCTTCCCTTTTAAAACTTTCAATTTCTCCTTCCTATCATCCCTTTCTCACTCACTCTGCAGTACAGACAGATACATAGAGTTAAAAAGAACTCTGGTATTTTCAGGTTAAAAGATGACTAAGAGAAATACTGTATTCCTGAAGGGCAGTTGCATGGTCCTTCAAAAAAGTAGTTCTCAAGAAATTCCATTGCTTTGCTGGTCTAGGATTTGGTGGTGATGAGGGGAAAAGTTATGCCTAAGGTTTTGTTCTCTTTTTGGACTTTCAAAACAAAAGAATGAATGTGACTTGAACAGCACTAACTGCAAGTCAGCAAAATGAAATTTTAGTTTTAGCTCATTCATCCATCCATTCATCTACCTAACAAATACTGTGAATGCTATGTGACAAGTACTAGACTGTACAAAGATACAGCCCCTTAAGGAGTTAATAGTCCTTATATTTTCTAAGTTTGGTTAACAGCATTTTATCTACTACTTATTACAGATTTATAGAAGTGTTATGTCTTCTCCATTAATCATAATGGCTTAGGTAGAAAATATACATTGAGTGTCATAAAGCCTTAGTTCCCATATAATGTAGGAAATTAATTTACAGCTGTATATCCTTGGATGTTCTCTTGAATTGTGAATGAATGATTCAGGGTTATTACTACTATCAATTATCATTTTGCCCTGGGGCCGGGGAGATAGCTCAGTAGAATAAGCGCTTGCCTGGCAAGCGCAAGCACATGAGTTCAATCCCCGGTTCCGGAAAAAAAAAAAAAAAATTATGTTACCCTGCAATATAGCAGCTGTGTTAGACCCTATGGTGAGATACAGGGTGCTCTGCAACAATACTAAACAGCCTTTCAGCATTATGATTGTCATTGCTGTTTTACTGCTTTTTTACCATTTACCTGCCTTCTTTCTTGAGAGGTCTTACTATATGTTGCTTGCCTAACTTCTTCAAGTTCTTCCTCCTTATAGTATTTATTCCTTCTAAATTGTTATGGAAACTATATAATCAAGAGATAAAGTGGCTTATAGTAAGGATATAAAGTTATCTCAATGAAAAGATGAAATTTTAATCTTGGTGGCATGTCTTTTGGTTGTTCAAGGGCTGGATTTAGTTTCTTCTTGCTCCTCTGTAATGTGATAAATAGATAATATATACTTGGGAGCTGTGTTCTTGGTATTTACATTTATTGTTCTATTTAGAGATTCAGCTTAATTTGACTTTTAGAGGATTTCTTAGAACTGTATTTGCAAATCATAGGTAGACTTTCAGCTATCTAAAGACCACAGGACTGCTTACCATGACTTATTAAAGTGATACCGTGAAGCGAGAATAAAAGGCATACCTGTGTTAGATAATTTGGCTTAACTGTTTAATTTCTGAATGGATATTCTTTCTCCTTATAAACTGACTTGGCAAAAGTGGGGTTCATAGGACATGCATACTGTGAACCTGAGACTTCCATATTTAGTCAATTTGGGAAGCATCTGGGGAAAGTGAGATTTGTTGACTGAATCCAGAGGCCATAAGGCAGACAAGAGTTAACAGGACTCACCATTTGTCAGCCTGATGTCTTTTATGACATCCTGAGGGTCATGGGAGGATACTGAACTGGGCTCAGATGATGGAATTTGGAATTGATGATCAATAATGGATTTATTGGAATCTTATTAATAATAGGCATGACATAGAATATTTCTGTTTGGAGACTGCCAGACAGATCAGATCAGGAGTATTAAAGTTTATGGTTTTTTAAAAAGACTTATTAATATCTAGACAGTCAGAAGGGTCTTCTCTCTTACAGTTTACTACTCCAATAATTTGACAGGGTTATTATGTCACAGAAGTTGCATATTTTATCTTTATTCAAATTGATGCATTGATAAGGATTAAGCATCAGAAGGCAAATGACTTTCTTATTTAGATCTTTAGAACCCAGGATCCTCTTACACCCAGCACTTACTGTATATTAGTCATTCTTATTTAGCACAGAGTCATACTTCATTTTCACCTTCTAGTGGTTGTCCAATATGACTATCCAAATGTAAATTTACTAAAATTAAATAAAATTAAGAATTCAGTTTGTCAGCAGCACAAACAAGTTCAGTAACACCCATATATAATGGCTTATGTGTCGGATAATATTAATACACAGTATTTCCAACCCTGGAGAAACCCCACTGTCCTAGTCTGCTTTGGTGAGGGGTAGCTCTCCTCCTGTACACATTGTCTCCTCATGAACCCTTGCAGCCAGGTAGTCTATCTCCAGCCTCTCTGTCAGCCCAAGAAGCCCCTGTACTATTCAACTTACCCTTCTCTGCAGCAGGTTCCGGAGAGACCAAGGACTTCATGCTAATACTCTTCCTATAAATTTCTCTCTACTTATGTTTTAGAAACTGTTATTTCTATTGGTTAGTTATGTAACTAATTTCATTCATGGTTTTGCTGACTCTCTATGAACAAGTATGTTTTGTATGTGTGGAAAAGACCTTAATCAGGATAGAAGTTGAAAAAAAGAGCTGCAAGTTTTCAGGCCTGTAATTCTACTTATTTCAACAAAAATGTTGATGGAGTCTCTCCAGTATAAGTTGCAAATAAATATGCTGTACTAAATATTCTGATTATTTTGTTGTTGAAGGTAGGATAATAGGATAGTTTGGGGTGGAGGAAATATTTAGGTTGAAAAAAAACTTCAGAGGAATTTGAAAGCCAAGTTCCACAACAAGATGGATACTCATGGTGAATTCTAATGTCAGAAATACCCATAGGTTTCACGAGGAAAAGCTATTTTGTTTCTTCAAATCTCAATAATCATTTTGATTGAGCAGATGAGTATGCTGCCTACTAAGCATTTGAAGATAACTGGGAAGGGATACTGCTGAACACTTGATTTTACTTTCCACTAGGAACTTTGAACAGTTGCAGAAAATGAGTAAGAAAGAAGTCTGACAGCAACTAACTTAGACAACTGACCAGGTAAGACTATACCAAGTGAGATGTAAGGTTCATCAAATGCTATGGATCCATCTGTTGGGGACCTCTGTTGCCTGGTATTTATGGCCTGAAGTGAGATCTGCTGGCTGTGACCAACCTACTTGTTATGAAAATCGTAGATCTCCTGGATATTGCCAAAGATGATATGCTCTTTATTAAGGATCCCAGGGGGGATCTCCTCCACACCACTGGTCATTTCCCATAGGTAAGTCTGTAAGATAGTAATAGATTCATTACTGACAAGTATGCCAACAGAAATTCAGACAAACAAAGAATCCCTAGACCTGGGGACAACACTCAGATAAGCAATACATGCAGAGTTTAACAAATGTAAAATCCTGAATGTTAGGAAGTGCACCATTACCTCTTGTATTTATCAAGTGTACATGGATTCGAATGGGGGAAGTGGGGTGAAGATTTTCAATTTACTCTGTGTGTCATGGTTTTTATTTTTGAATTGAAATGCCTTACACACTTTTTTTTCTGGGTCTAGCTCCAGTCTGAGAAAACTATAGACTTTTTTTTCAAAAGCACTTGAAACTTCCATGTAATTACTGTTGATTCTGGGAGAAAGATTTCCTCTGGTTGGCTTTTTGAATTTTTTAAATCTCTATGAAAAGAACAAGCGCTCTGAACTCTCAAAGACTTGACAATGATGAGGATGCCATCTTCTAATAGAGCTGTGAACTCATAACTGCAAGACTTACCTCCAAACACTCATGTAAGTCTCTTACATAAGCTTTCTCAGTCTGGAGAAGTTCAGCCATAATGAATCTAGAGGAAAACAAATATGCTTTTAGTTTTAGAAAGTGCCTCCCTTCCTTTAAACTTTACTTCCCTACTCCAGCATCTATGACATTCTCAAATGTTCTATTTTACCAACAAACTCCTTCCTTCTGCTATGAGTCACTTTTACCCTCAGTACTTGCTCTGTATCTCTTAGCAAATGCACCCAGCCAGTTCCACAATCTGCTTTCAGAACTCAATTCTAGCGCACTGTGATTTTGCATTGATATGGATGTGCCCTCCATTGCATTTGTATATATACATGTGAGCACAAGATACAGGCTCATTCACATCTGGTTCAACAAGTAGATAGCTTGACTCTCAGCTTTCCACATCTGCCTTAGGGCTCCCAGAACAAATTCTATTCAAGGAGTTTGTAGATTTATATCAAAAGTTTTTTTTAATGATTATAAATATTTTATTTCATTAGAATACAAGGGGTAATCAAAATATACAGTGAATGTTTAAAATTTTATTTATTTATTTTTGGTTTTTCGGGACAGAATCTCACGATATAGCCCAGGTTGGTCTCAAACTCCCAGTGATCTCTTTTGTGTGTGTGTGTGTGTGTGTGTGTGTGTGTGTGTGCAGGGTCTCACTATGCAAACTTGTAGTGATCATCCTGTTTTCAGCCTCCCCAGTGCTGGGATTACAGGCATGTGCCACCACGCCTAGACTCCATGGCCAGTTCATTACACCTGGGGGCAGGGCTAGAGTGGCATCAAAACAGTTTTCAATGCAATAAACTAACCCAGGTTTCAAGGCCAGGCAGAGATGCCCAACTCACCACTGAGATCAGGGATTAGCAATTCTTTTGCAAGCATCCAGGAAGAAAGCATTTATTAGCCATTCAGTCCTTATTATAACCTTTCAACATTGCTGCTACACCATGAAATGAACCACAGGATGTGTTTTAAAAAAAATGACTGTGTTCCAACAAAACTATGTAAGGACACTAAACTTTGAATTTTATCTATGTATTCTTTTCATTATTTTCTCTATCAATTTGATATGTATAAAATTATTTCTATATAAAAGAGGTGGTAAATTAAATCTGACCTCTGGGCCACTATTTGCTGATGACCTTTGACATAGATTATTCTATTAAATATTTAGACATTATTTATAGTGGGATGCCTTTGTGTAAAAACTGACATGACAAACCTGAACCTCCAAGCATAAGTTAGCAATGTTAAGTGACTGCTTTTCAGTTTACCATACAGAGAATTTGTTTACGGTGAGTTTTTCCTTCCTCCTAGGTCCCCTAAATAACACAACAGCCTTGAGTAGCTATTAAACTTATGAGGTATAGCTTCATTGTACTGTATCTACCTTATTTTTCCTCCATAAATTTTTATTACAAATGGTACTTACTAGCACGCATATGATCTAATTTGGTATAAACTCTATACTTACATATTTACCTTACATTTTCTGTAACAGCTTTTTCATGTAGTTCATTATGAGAACTCCTATTTCCAGATGTCCTATCACATGAAACTTTTGAAAATCAATGTCCCTAAAATGCCCTCTTCTGGATAATTCACAAGAAATATTACATGAACAGCATCTTTTCCTGGACCTTTACGTTGATAGGATTTTTCTTAAAACATAACATTGTCCTAGCAGTGATCTTTCTGTTAAAATTAAAGGACTGAGTTTAAAATTTTCTTTTTGTGGAATTAGTCACTCTCTTTCTATTCTTGCTCGATTGGTAGAGTGCAAGGTACACGAATTTTGAAGTCAGACACAGGAACTGAATTATGGCTGTCATTTACAAGTAGACTGCTTCCTTGGCCTCAGACTCCTTAGTTTGTAAAATGGCTGATCACAGGATTGCTGCAAGGGTTACAGAAGATCACTCAAACAAAGGGCCTGGTATAAGGGGTTCTTGGGCAATGGTAATTAGATCTATAGATTACTATGAAAGTAGGAAAGAAGGAAAGGGAGAAGAAACGTAAGATGATGGGCTTTGAGAAACTGTCTCTGGTTTCACTGTCTTGGGTTTTTGGGCATTGTTCTTTTTCTTCTCTCTGCTTCTTGAGATTTTTACCTGTCTTTCTTCTTATCTCCACTACTCCATGCTTAATTCTGTTTTATTTTCCACCCATCCTTTATTCTCTTCTATCTATTTCGTTGGCTGGAAAGAACTCAGAAGGAAGATTTGGTTTCCATTTCCCTTTCCCATAATGGGTTGAACTGTATATCAGTTCCCCAGAATTGATATGCTGAAGTTCTAACCCTCAGTAACTCAGGCTTTGACCTTATTTGGAAACAGTCATTACAGTGTTATAGCACAGTGGTCCCAATTAACATGACTGATGCCCTTATAAAAAGGCATCTATCTTCAGGAAGATTCTCAGGTGGACATGAAAACAGCCTGCTGAGGTCTGAGAAAAGAGTCCGGAACATATCCTTCCCTCAGCCCTCAGAAAGGAGCCAACCCTACCAATGCTTGGCTTCCACAATGGCAGACATACGTTTCTGTTGTGTAGGTCACTCAGCTTGTCGTACTTTGTTATGAGGCCCTAAGAAGCTAACATGCTTACTGCATCAAATAAGCTCTGAATTCACAAGCCTGCTTTAGTTTCTTCTGCTCCAGAGAAGCTATGATCCTAATTCATTTTGATAATCTACAGAGAACTACTTAATCATAGGACATATTATCTTTATCTATTATTGCTCAGAGTCTGTCAAAATATGCTTTATAAAGTCCTCCAGAGAGCTCTGTATATGTGTGACTTTGTAATCCCAACCTGAAGAAAGCAGAGTGCCCAAACTGATATGGTTCATTCTTTCTACAACCTAGTGCCCTGTAATTCTTGATTAGCATGGACTGTTGGAAAGCAACTACATACCAAGCAACCAACCAAAGAAAGCAAAATGTATTTCGCCTACCTGGAATCAAGATTTTTCTGAGACTGGAACTGAAATATTGTCTTCCCTCAGCATCCTTAGGGGATTGGGTCCAGCACCCCCATGGATACCATGGGTGCTCAGCTCCTTGTATATATAATATGGCACAGTATTTGCATATAACCTATGCACATTCTCCTATATGCTTTAAATTACTTGCAGATTACTTGTGGTATATAAGACAATGTAAGTGCTTTTACATTGTAATAGCTCTTTACTGTTTAGGGAATAATGACAAGTGAGAAAAATTACATAAAATTATTTCCTGAATATTTCTGACCCTCATTTGACTGAGTCATAGGAGTCAGGACTCATAAATGTGGAGAGCTGATCATACTTAGAGAGCAGAGGCTCTAGTGACAGATTGGTTCCAGTTCTCTTAAATAGATTCTGGTCCCTATCTATTATTCTTGAGAAACATAGAATTCAATTCATAAAATTCTCAGACTTCAGATTTTTCCAAAATGTTTGACTCTCAGCATCCTAAACCCCTTCTTGTGGATTCTCCTCAGCCTGAGCTCCTTATGGCTCCTGTCCATCTGAGAATAAACTTACAAGTTTTACATCTGAGCTCTATAATTTTCTCACTGGGCCACTTTCTAGATATAGCTTCTTTTTCTTTTAAAAATCGTGTTATTCACCAGGCAAACATTATGAAATTGAATACCTATATTAAGTCAAAGGAGGGATTATCTGATGCTAGAATATCTCCCAAAGTGTGTGTTACTCTCTTTTGGCCCAACAGTGTATTCCTTTAAGTAAGAAAGTTGGTTCTGTGGTGCTCATTTGTTAATATTTGGATAACTTCTTGTTCTTTATAAAAAGTTTGAGCTTCCACATGTAATTACATAGTACATTTTTTTGAACACCTATCACATCTTCATTACTCTCTTCATTGGTTCATATAAGATAGTATAAAAATATGCCTTTCCTCACAGAGTTTATAATTAAATTACAGAGACATACTCAGGAGTCCACCAAACAAGTAATGTGTGAGTCAGTGTAGGCAAACATTGTAGAAGTTCAGAATGAAAAATGCAATACCAGCAGAGGTTGTAGACAAGAGATTCGTGAAGTTGTAGATATGGGCTGGAATTTCAATAATCAATAGGCTCTGAAGTGGGGCAAAAGCCACACCAGAAAAAAAAAAAAAGGAAGAGAAGGAAAAGAACAAAGAAGAGAGCTCTAGGCCAAGAATATTACATGAACAGCTGAGCGTAATTTATTTTTGGACATGAAAGGAATCTGTGAAAGTGATCTGACTAATGTGTCACTGGAACTGGGAAGTAGTACATTTACCTGAGAATAGTACCTCTTCTGAGTTCTGAAATAAAAGTGACTGATTTTCTAGAAGTCATAGATACATGACGAGGACCATGTAGGACAGATAGGACAGACTAAGAAGTCTCCAGTGAGCCCATATTCTCAATGAAAGCATCATGTCTGTCTATCTGTCCCCCTCTGTAGGTGACCAAGAGGACACAGTAAGCTACCAAAAGAGATGGGTGGCAATGCAAAAAAGCCTGCTCATGGTAATGGGAGTTTGCTAGCACATACTCTTTCTTTCGGGCTGATTTCCGCTTCTCTTCATTAACTTCGTGGTTGGCATCACGCAGCTTGACCTCCCGATCAGAAAGGCTTGCTGGTATGATGTCCAGCTCCAGGTCCTTGTTATCCTGCATGTGGTAGATCACAAAGGTTATCTTGGAGAAGCTTTAAGAAAGGCACATGCCCATGCTGAGTGAGGTATTAAAGCAGAAAAACAGAGAATAATTCAATGCAGAAGATAAAAAATGGAGGGTCCTATACATTTCTACCCACAGGTGCTCTTCTTATGAGGTAATAATTCTTTTCAAATAACAGAAAATGTGCAAGTCACATGTTTAGTGCTGATATCCACAGCAATGGACACTATGTGTCTACTTTGCTGAGGACTTCAATCCTGATTACATTTAAACATACACATGCATAAAGGGGTCTAGAATTGGTTCTTCATAAGTAAGATAAATACAAGGCAGAAACATATAAGGACATAAAAACCTTTCATTTGTCAAAGGAATTAAAAAAAATTCTCTTGCAAACGTTTCAGTGACTAAGCTTTCTAATTACTTGTCCCTGCTAATTTCACCCAGATTTGGTGTTTATACATGATGGGTCCTCTAGGGCAAAGTCAGGCCAGTGCATAGGGAAGATGTTAGCTGTTTCAGTTCTCAGTGGTTCTGACTACTGTGTACGCTGCTCTGCTTCAGAGCATGAGCCTATTTAAAGATTTATGAATTAAAAATCCTAAGATTAAATTGCTTGGCTGTATTTAGTTCTTAATCCATAGGTCACTGACCCCTATTATAAAGAAGAGATTAAAAGTCAGTCTTTTTTTACCTCATGACAAATGGTACCTTTTCTTAGTTGAAATGTCAATAGTCTTTACACAAATTACATCCCTTGAAAGAGCACTATTATCTATACAGGGACCCTAAGACCCTAATCATTTGCTGATTAATATAATAGAGTAGGAGATGGTACTGACGAGGCCGAAATGAAGGGGTTAGTCCTCAAAGTCAATAGATGACTCTACACAGAGAAAAACTATTCTGTAGCATAAGCTCTTCTCATGGCTAGTCAGCTTTGCAATATATAAGGCACTAACTAGAGATGAATGGATCCTTGTCCCCCCAACCGTAACCCTCTCAAATCATACAAGGCAAATGTTCTAGGGTCACCAGCTCAGTAGGACTGCCCTGGAAACTTCTCCATGGTAGCAATGGGAGTAACAGTGCTGAAGGAGATGAGAAAGTAGGATGACCTAGTGGGAGAGCCCATACTTACCTCTGTATTGACTCCTAGGGCTTTCTCCAGGGAGTATCGGTACTTCCCCATCCTCAAGGAGAAATCTCGATAGTGTTTGTCCACTGTTGTCACCCATTTCCTTATCTCTGTGGCATGAATATGGCCTTTTTCTATAAAGCTATCAGCGAGCTGAATCAGAAGCTTCACCTTCTCCTTTGTTTGCTGCCCTCAAAAGATGATCTTAAGTTACTAGATGACATTATTCTTGGGCCCCTTCCCCCTCAAAGTTCTTTTCTCTTCACAGCAGCCATAGGCATCCTAGAGCTGGACTATCTGGGCTTGCATAACAGCTTTACTCTTACTACCTCAGTCATCTTGATCAAAGGGTGTCCTCTTAGTTCCTTCTCACACAAAATAGGAATCTGAACAATAACAGAACCTGCATCATACGGCTGGCATGAGCATTAAATGAACTGATAATGCAGAATGCTTAGAACAGTGCCTGGAATGCAGTAGGCACTCACAGTGCCCACAGTAAGCCAGAAACATTAGCTATTATTATTACCACCCACATTAATGCAGTGCTTTTCTAGTTATGCAGTCTATCATCACATCTGAGACCTGTGTGTGTCTTGAAGCATCCCTAAAAAGTAGGTGGAGGGAGGTGGCATAGTTCTTTTTGGCCCACAGATGAAAAAGCCCAAGGATTAGTTATAGGATTCTAATTCATATCATTCGTAACCAAAAAAGTCTATCTGTCTCTGTTCCTTTGTTCCTAGTTCATTCCCTTCCGTGACTTAGAGATGTAGAGATAGGCTCTGAAACATCATGCATTGGTACATGCTAACATCCAAAGAAATCCAACTAGCAGAGGTAGGAGTAAATTCTATCTCTTTTAGATTAGCCTTGAGTTTCCCTCAGAGAGAAAAGGTTTAAAGAAGCCAGGAGCTGTTCTAGGGCTAACAAGGCAAAACTCTTGATGTGTTCTGGGTTAATTTCACATTTAGCAAAAATTTGTTCAGTATCTACTATGTCCAGCCATGTGCAGAGAGCTATAGGGACAGGCTTCAGGGATAAACAAAAGGAGGGGAAAAAAGATGTTCATTTTCCCCAATAATACAGAAACTCTAGAGGGGACAAGATTTTCATGCAGAGTAGTTAAATAACTCAGGGCATCATGTAATTGAATGTCAAAATGAGAAGTATGTATAGTTAACAACACAAGAATTTTAAGTGCAATAAAAATGAAGGCAGAGTAGCATAGGAAAGAGTAAATATAGACTTGAGGCTGGGGGTGAAATCTACCCAAGAGTCCTTTTCTTCTGTGGTCGTATATGCTTGTTGTGACCTTCCTTCAATGTATAAGATATAATCAGGGGAACATGAGATGAGTAAAGTCTGGATCTTATCCTTTGGAAATGTTGGCTCACAAAGGTGATGCTATTGTAAAGGTTACTGGAGAGTAGATGGCCCATGCCAGGTGTCCAAAGCCTATACAGACAAAGGCTGAAGTGTGAGGAGGGATCAAATCCTATCCCAGGACACAGCCTGGATTATAGAGGAGCTGGTGCTTGACTGTGAAGGTAGAATGAGAGGATATTCCAGTTAGAGAAATGGTACAGAGGCAAAAACTGTATGGTGCATTTCTTGGAGGGCAAGAAAATACATCCATTCAGCTTGAGAATAAAATTTTCATAAAGGCATAATTGAAGATAAAAGTAGGGGTGGGGCTTAGATATAGAAGCTATGGACCTTATCTTGGAAGCACTGGAGAGTCACTGAAGTTTTTTAGCTCAGTGGTAATGTGACCAGAGTAATCTTTTAAAGGGGACAAGCAGGAGGGATTCAAAGAAGAAAAGGGCCTAAAGCAAAGAACCCAGTTGAAGAGTGATTACAGCTTAGGGTGGTAATGAGGAATGGAAAAGAGAAAAGTTCTGAAGTAGATCATATAGGAAAGAAGAACTAAATCAAGTAGTTTTCCACATTTCTACTTTGGTTATGGAACAAAGAACCTTAGGAGTCATTAGTCTAAGAAGTTCTGGGTATCTGCTGTAGCCCAGCCTTTTCAGGTAAGAACACCAAGAAAGTTGATACTATCCATCCTGTTAATGGTTTATTACTGATTCTATTTGAAGAGGGGCAATTAAAGCCCAAACTGGCTAACTTAAAAGCTGCTTTCATTTGGATTTGAACAGGGTTCTGTTCAAATCTGCCACCTTCTTTGTGCTGTTTGCTGTACCTGATATTGACATGAGTTTTTTGTCTGAACTCATACCTTCTCACATTGGGAAAAATGTCCTTAAAAGGTCACAGCAATACAGGGGACAAGTCTCTAATATTGAGAGTTCATGATATAGGATTCAGAAAGTGAATAATCACTTAACATAACTAGCTCAGGAATAGGGTGCAGGTCTTAATTTTGTTATACCAAACCAAAGGAACATGCACTATAGTGTCAGAAGCATTTCTGGGTAGGATAGGGGGTTAACATGCTCTCGCCTTTGACTCCCACCAAAGCAGCTCTCTCCCTGGAAGAGCATCTCTCATTGTGCAAGTGATGCCAAGAAAGGCTCCTATATGGCAGGGAGCCTCATGTGAGAGATGAGGATGCTGCAAAGAGGAAGCTGAGACAGATCAGATTTTCATTCAAATCCATGCATCCTCAGATGAAATGCTGGCTGTGACAACATGAAAATCAGATTTCCTTTCATCATAGCATCCCCTCCCACCTCAGTGCACATGGAGATGTGAGGGTATGTGTACATATTGCTTCCTAGGGACGCACCATGACTCATTAGCAGGTCTGAGGCTAGACAGAAATAGCTCAAAAATAAGAAACTCACCTGCTTTGGGACCCCACCCATGGCCACCAGTCCTTCCTATAAGATGGACTTCCCAAGCTATTCAAACTTCAAGAATATGTGCATATTTGCAGATATTCATACACGCATGCCCATTTTTGCATGAATATACCTTTTTGTCTCATTTGGTCTGAAAGAATATAGTTGATACCAAACCTGGAGTTTGATGAGAAGTATAGTGTATGACAACTGGCATTTCACTTAGAGATGCTGTGCTCAGCAGCCGCAATTCTCTGGAAATGCAGGTTTCAGAGCAAACAATCCTAAACACGCTTCCCTCCTTACCACCCTGGGACCATACATTTCTGCTTCCAGAGGCTTCTCTTATGTCTATAATGTGAAGTTGGGCAGGGCACAGTGGACTTCAGGAAGGCTTCAGAGTGCTTCCTACCTTGGCAGGCACCCTGAAATCCCCATATTCTTTCAGTAGCTCCTGAGTCTCCTCTGTGGTCTCTCCCGTGGAGGTATGTGTTGAGAGGTAATATTCACCCGTTTCTTGGATCCAGTCCAGTGCCTGTGAGAGGGAAGAACCCACCCAGAACCCCAAAGGCAGCTGTCAGTGGGAAAACATGCCATTCTACAAGGAAGGTTTATGACTTGGCTCACATGATTCAATCAGCAGATATCTCTAAAGTTGTTTTATATGAATGAGCTCCCTCCTGATGTGGAATATCCTATCAGCAAAGCATTATACTGAGGACTCTCTGGGGCCAGGTCTAGCATCCTTTGTGAGCTAGGGACACAATGAGTAGCATTCTCTCACATCCCTGGTGCCAACCAGAATAGAGTGCTTGGTAATTCTGAATTGACAAGTGACAACCCATTCTCTCATCTCTTCATCCTTCTCCATCTCTACTCTATCTGCTGCTGTGGTCCTCTTCTGAAAGGTCCAAGCTACAATCATTTAGGCCTCTGCAAACTCCATAGAACTGAGGCAAAGCCAGGGAAAGCTCTGGACATACCTGTTTAGCACTGCGCTCAAACACCACGAATTGCTGGCACTGGTCTAATCGTCTTTTTTTCAAGGTCCAGAAATGCAGGACACGATTTTCCCTCTGTAAGAGCTCACTCAAGATGGCTGGGAACAGAGGAGGTGAATACTTGTTACCAAAAGTCTCTGATCAAACCATCAACTCCCTTGGCCCCATCACCCTGGCTCCTTGGAGGTTTGGCTCTAACGATGGAATCTGTTTGTACACCCTGTTAGGCCGAGAACTTTCATGGGTCCCAATTATTCACCATTCCCTATATCTACTTTTATTGTGTGACTTTAAGTTCAGTCCCAGACAGCACATTATGCTTCCTCACTCACTGAATGACCTTTGGCTCAGCCATGTGATTCACTTTGGCAAACAGGCTGCTAACAGATATGACAAAAGCAGGAGCTTGAAATATGACTGTGGACCTCACCTTGCTCCTTGTATCTCACCATCACCACTGTGAGAAGTTCCGAGTAACTGCTACCCTTCCAACCCTAGTCCCTGTATGGACCAGAATCTCACCTGCAATAAAGTGTCATATCAAGCTAGCCTAAAGTACAACAGTGCTGCTGAGCTTACCACAGAGGCTAAGCCCAGGCCATAGTTAGTCACCTGAACCATAAATGCTTACAGTTGTTGCTGTCATGCAGCAAGCTGTTTTGGTTGTTATGCAGAAAGTTTTGCTCCCATAACAAAACTTACAATAAGTGGTACTGGCTTTATGTCCATGTAGGAGGTGATGTGGGCAGCAGCTGAGCTAGAAATCAACCACACATTTGGGGCTAGAGCAAGGCCAGCCCACACAATATAGAGCACTAGAGGCAAGCCATATAAACAAGCTGTTAGGATTAAAGGAAAGCCAGTCCAGCAGGTGTCTGGCTTTGGCTCCTCCCTGTCCACTATAGCATAGATAGTTCTGAGAATGTTTCACTTTCAGTGTTCTCAAGAGAACACTGAAACCATCACATACTTCCTCCTTTTTACTGTTTATAAATAAAGATATTGACTGTTCTGGGTTGTTGCTCCCTCTCCATCAGAGAGGTCAAGTCCCGGGTTCTCCTTTCACTGCATGTCTGGTCTTTTCTTAATCTCCCATCACCCCTTCTTAGGACCCTGTTGGCTGCACAAGGCGTTACAGGGTGAGAAGGAAATACATCAAAGAGATTGCTGATTCCTGCTCTGGCGAAAGCATCCACTGGGTGAGGAAGGAGGGTGTGTCTCCTCCCTTTAGTATTTATGTCCCCTAGCCAGAGGTGTGCTAATTATAGATTTCTTTCTGGTGGCCAACAAAATCAAGTTAAATCAGGCAACAATTCTAAAGAGTTTAGGGTTTTATTTTTCCTTCATTTTGCGAGTTTCACATTGGCATAAATCTACCCTTACCCCAGGAAGAAGTAGACATTTCTGGCTCCCTCTGGGTGCCTGCCTCTCTTCTGCACATAAGTGTAGGTGGGGTGTGGTATCTCAGCAGTAGCTAGCCTCACCCAAGTTTCTATCTACATTTGGAAGACAGAACATATGCTCTGAAATGTGCTGGAAGGAGAGGGTGACATAATGTCAGCCACCCACAGGGCCCCTCAATCAAGAAAAGAAAAACACATCTGGAAAAGGAACCCTACATCCCTTCTCTCCATAGGGAACTTTGATTTCTAAGTTTAATTATTTTCCAGGACTTTTGATCTCCCAGCTTTTGAACTACGGAGGGAGGAGAGCTTCACCTAAAGAAAGCTTCACCATACCCACAGGGTCTCCAGGCCTCCTTACTCCTCTCTCCTAGTCCATGCAGATTTCCTCCCTAGGCTTGGAATCCAAGGTTGTATTACTATGCTCTGACAAGTGGACCTGTGTTAGACTCTCTGCCTACTCAAATACTAATTTCTGCATGGTCAGAGCAATGATTGAAGACAGTAAGACATAACAATTTAAATGCAATGTGATCAGACAATAAATAGTTTTAAAGGTTATATAGTTCCATAAAATTATAGACTTTATAGAATTCAGAAAGATACTGAAGACTATCTAGAATAGTAGTTAAGTAAATTTTGCACATACACAAATGGCCCAGTTGGTGGATAGGAGGGAATTGTGTGTGTGGGGGGGTCTTTTTCTTTGAGACAGAATTTTTCTATGCAGTCCAGACTGACATCAAATTGGCACTCCTCACACCTGGTTTGGGGCATAGTTCTTGCTAAAATTCAGCTTCTGACTGTACTTTGGGTAGGTTCTAAGATTCTGTGTCTTATACGTGCTCCCAACTGACATTTGTGTTGTTCATCTGAGGGCCACATTTGGAGCAGCAAGAGATGAGACATTCCCCTCATTTTAAGCATGAAAACTAAGTTGAAAAGGTTAGGCAATAAGTGACAGGATTAGATCTTGGTTTTATAATTCTCAGTCCATGCCTTCTTCCTAGGTTGTAGACACCCTCGTCTTATGCTGTTTAATATATTAATGGGGCTGGCAAGAGAGCCCATTGTTCTAAAGTGCCTGCTTAGGCAAGCTTAGTCAAAGCACAGGGACCGAGGTTTGATTCCTGGCACCACATGCCATGCCAGCCCTGCCCCTAGGGCAGGCTGAGCCGGTCACACACACACAAAAAAGGTAGCTACGGTTACATTTGGCTATTTACATTTAAATTAAACATCACATAAATGTAAATATTTTGTTGCCCAGTTCCAAGAGCCAGACTTCAAGTGCTCAATGGCCACATGTGACTAGTAGCTATTCTACTGTACAGTGAAGGTATATGCAATTTGTATTATTTCAGAAAACTCTACTAGGCAATTTAGCCCTTGACCAGTGGTGGCAAACCTATGGCAAGAATGCTGCAGCTGGCCATCTGTTATCACTGAAAGCTCTAAGTGGTTCTCTATCACTGCCCTACATCCTAAGATAAATGAAAAAGATTGGGAAAGTTTATTCCCATTTGTCTACCCAAAATGTTGCTGCCTGTTAGGAAACTGAGCATGAATCACCATTGTCCACACTGTCCACCTCAGGCGTTACCTTCTCTAAAGAGAAGAATTAGGACATTAAAGATTTCATGAAGACTAGGTGCCAGTAAGGAGGGGGCTGGCCTCTTGTTTATGCCACGGGTGTAACTTGTGGCCTGGCAGGTCTCTCACTGACCTTTCACTTGCTGCTCAGGGCCCCGGGTGTGGCTGGCGACACTGGGCATGCTGACATTATTCCTGTGGATGTACTTGAGAAACACTTCAGCATTCCGCCGTGCCAGGGTGCAGGCCTGAGAGAGACAAAAGTGTGAGGGGCCTGTGCCCAGCAGTGTATGAAATCCAAGACACCAAAATAAAGGTATCTTTCTTCTACTTTTTAGGAGACTTGAGGGTCCAATGGTGATGAGGGTGCTGGAGGAATCCATAAGGAGCAAAGCTCTGGAGGCCACTTCTGGTCCATGGATGTTACAGTTCCAATTCAAGAGTTTCACTCTCTGATTTTTCCTTTTATTGAGTAAAGAATTCTTCCCTTTGCCTCATTCCTTTTCATCTCAGATAAAAATCAGAAAGCGCCAAATCCCTGGACCACCTCTATGTTGATTCATCACTATTAATGATCACTCTTGGGTTGGTTTTCCTCCTCTTTTGACACACCTTTCGTATGACCACTGGTGTAAGCCCAGTGAACATATCCAACTGTAATGTAGTTTAATTTAGACTTCAGAATGTACAACTTTTGGGATAAACATAGCTATCAATCATACATTCTAAATCTAAGTAGAAGTTTTTGATCATAAGTTTCCAAATTAACTTTTCTGTCCATTAAGATCCACTTACCTAAATAACACTAGTATGCATCCTGTTGCTGAGAAATACCAATCTATATAAATAATAAGAACTGTTGTTCCATCCCTTTAACACTCATATCAGCTGTGAGAAGCAGAGTAGAAAGGACAGGTTCTCTCTGTTGCCCTGATGGACAGGAAAGACCAAGGCCTCAAAAGAACAGGTAGCAGGAAGCAATCAGATCTAGACTCTACATAAACTAAAAGCATTTCTAGTTTCTCTTGAGATTATATAGATCTTGGATTTTTCTAAAATGTAGGCTTTTCTTCCTCTGGTTGTAAAAGTAATATATGCTAGTACACTAATTTTTATCCATAGTTTCCTGAATTAAGTTATCTTTAGCCCAAATTGTTAAATTTTAAATTTTCTTATACTTAAGCCTCTAAGCCCACAAATTATACTAACAACCTGTGCAGAGCAGGGCTGTGCTGCCTTCCTGGGAAGCATGGGTAGCCTCTCTCAGCAAACCCCAAGTAAGATACCTTTACTTTCATACAGAAGGATAAGTACTTTCATACAGGAGGACAGTATTTATTGGTATTTGATAACTTTTAGATTGATAAATAAAAGACTAAATTTATTTATTCAATTCTTACCTTAAATTTTGCATCATTCATTATTAAAATATTTTTTATAAGTGTTTTACATCAAAAATTAATTCTATAAGCCAAACATAATTGAGTGAGAACCATATATTTTTCTCAATAAATAACATCCATATCAGGCTATTCTAATTGGCAGTGGTGGTCATGAGGCGTCTTAGTGCTATCATTTTGGTGCAAGAGAGAAATCAATGTGTAAAGTGTTACATTATGACCTTTCAGATGAACCAGTCAACATCTTCTTTATAGCTCCTTTCCCTGTTTAGAAAAAATGGGATAGGAAGACCATATGAATACATGTGTGATAGAGAAAGACAGACAGAGATAGAGAGCAGAAGGAGAGAGAGAGAGAGAGAGAGAGAGAGAGAGAGAGACAAAGACAGGACAGAGACAGAGACACAGAGACAGAGAGAACAGAGACAGAGACAGATAGCCAACACGTCTGGAGTCTGAGGCCTTCTGTGACAATGTGTGCTGACCTTAAGAAAAGCTTCCTTTTGTTCCAAGTGCTTGCTGATGAGTGGAATGACATGGTCGATCTCTGCTGCTGGCCCCAGTTTATCTCTTCCACCACACCAATCCTCATCTCTCCGATATTCTTGCTCTAAGCTCTCCAGGACACTACATACCTAACGAATTGGAGGAAAAGACTCAGTAAATTAATCAGTCACAAAAAGTTCTCCAAGGACCTTTAGCCCCCAGAATTTTACATAGTGACATTTTTTTTCACTTGAAGTTCAGCCTATATATTTAGTATGTTCTGTTTCTGGGACATCTAAGAGTCCAAGCGATAATGAGAATCCCATGCCTGCAGTTCAGGAGACAGACTGTGGCTGGACATATGGGTTTTGGAATTATCTTCTTATGATGGGTGGCTGACACTATGGGTCCTGACAAAATTACCTAGGAATAGTATGAAGACTAAAGAAGGAAGGCTAGTATATTTTGGAATAGTTCAAAGCATTTCATCTGTATGGTTATAACCTCAGGATAATTGTGAGCTAGGGAGAAAAGGAAATGGGATTTAAAAAAGATACTTGACTTGCTCAGTCATCCATACTTGTCCTGCTGTAAAGAGTTTCATGCAGGGGTAAAGGAATCTGGCTCTGTTGTGTGATTTGTGGGGGTCATAAAGAAAGTCATCTTTCTTCTCACCTGGGAAAATGTTCTAGGGTTCTATCATAAAGTAGTGAAATCTACTACAGAATGCACACTTCTTTCAGAGGAAAAATAAGTTTGAGTTAACCTAAAAGATAGTTAAAAAGATTTCATTAAAACAAAAAAAAGATTTCAGTTCTGAAGATGTGGAAAAATGCTGAATAACCATATAAATGACCTCAGAAAAGAACATTTTGAAGGAGATTTCAAGGGAAACTTAGGTTCAGTCATACAGTGAGAGACTCCAGGTAGTCTATTATGGGGGGTGGGGCTGGAGAAAATATGCAGAAAGTAGAAATTGGAGTCTCTAGAAACCTGCCTTCAGTAGACTTCAATATTTTCTTAGAAACAGTAGCAGAGGAGGATAACTATAATTATCCTTTCTCTCTTCTGAGAAAGTCACCCCCTCTGATGAAGTGTGTGTCTTTGGAAGGGATGCTCACTAACTTATGAGCTAAGCTGAAGATATCTCACACAGAATACCCTTTTCCCAGACAGGCTTTCCATGTCACAAGAAGGTCAGTGACTGCAAACTAGGAAATTTGTTTAGTCCTATCTCTAGTACTTCTGTATGCAAGACACGAAAACTTGGAGGCTGGCTTGTATCTTGAGATAAATCATATCATACATATGCAAAGACATTAAGAATAAGACTACTTGAGATTTGTTCCATAATAGGGCTAGACTTAAAACAAGTCAACTTGGGAGTTGGAATTTAAAAAAAAAGAAAACTAAGTATACATTCTTTAATTTAATAAGCAAAGGAATAAAAATCCAGAGACACACACACACCCAAAAAAACCTTTAGCAAAGTCAGTGTAGGGTCCAATATCCTGACTTTTAATCTGGTACTCTGTTCTCCTTACTATTTCAATCCAACTCACAAGGAAATTTGTGTGTGTGATTAGATAAGGATTCTCATTTGTTCTATATATTCACTCAGTTGTATAATTCCATTTGTTGGACTTTCCTTCCTCATTGAATTTTTCAAAAAACAACTGTATATATGTGGATCTATTTTTATAACCTCTGTTCTGTTAGACTGTGTCTACCCTTATACTAACACCATCTGTCTTGATCATAATGGCTTCAGAGTAAGTCTTTAAATTAGGCAGTACGACTTTCAATTTTATCCTTCCTTTTCAAGGTTGTTTCGTTATTCTAGGTTTTACGTATTCTAGGTTCACGGTATCTGTATTTTATTTCCACATAAATCTTAAAATCAGTGTATACATTTCTACAAAAATGTTTTCTGGGCCTTAGTTGGGATTGTGCTCATCTACTGGGGAAACTGTTTATCATCTTAGTCTGCTGGTTCCACTTCTGTCACCATCAAAAGCATAATTTCTTAGAAACAACAGAAAGGAGACTAAGAAATATGGGGGCCACAATGCTAACTGCAGACTCTGTTGGGTGTTACATTTGCTCTATTTCATGGTCCCTGTAAGTGACCAATAGGGGATTGCTTTTCTGATCTATTTCTACCAGGGAACAATTCAAATGAGAAAACTATTTTCTGCTGAATAAGATTACTCCAGCTTTAAGCTTCATTTCATAAAAAGAATTCCCTAACAGCATGCAAATCATTTGAAAGTCATCTGAGGCTTTGCACATACTGCAGTACAGATGTACTGATAATGTAGCTGCATTTCATGGACCTGCTGCATACATCTTCTGTGGTAACCACTTAGTACTTAGGCCCACAGTTCCTCAATGAGAGCTATGTTTCCTATAACAGATTGGGAGCACCATGCATAGCAGAATCATATGTTTTTGAAGTAGTATATAAAGCCTGATTGTGGAAGATTTTATTATCGTTCAGCAAATACTCATTTTTGTCTCCCAACCTTCACCAAGAAGCACTCTTGGCTCACTGGTACTGGTTTGGCCATGGGATTACAGGTGACAAATACTTAAAATACTCTTGTGCAGTGGACTATGGGCTCCTGCAGCCCTGCCTCTAACTATGAATGTACCCAAAGTAGCTGCTGGTCAAGGAAGATGAATGACAAAGGAGCATATCTGGGTGCAGCATATACTTGGCAGTCCAGCTCTGCTAAGTTAGTTGAAATCAACTGAGCCCCAGATAATTAAACAAATAGAAAAAAAGAATGCAACTGTTTATGCTACCAATTTTGCAGTGGTTTGTTACATAGCATTATTATGGCAATAGCTGACTGATATATAATGTTCAAATCTACCATTCAACAAACATCCAATTCGTATTTTGTCACTTTCATATAGATCTGGTGAATTTCACAAATGTAAGAGAAACAAATCCCATGGTCCACTTCAATAATAGAAAGGATGATAAGGGAGCTAATGGTAACTCTGCAGGTTATTCTTTTATTCTCAAAGGTTATACTAGGGGCCGGGGAGATGGCTCAGAAGAATAAGCGCTTCCCTGACAAGGGCCTGAGTTCAATCCCTGGTTCCGCAAAAAAAAAAAAAAAAAAAAAAAAATGTTATGCTGAGAGAACTGTTCCTGCAGAGCTGCAATGTGTGGCAGGACACAGCTCCTGTCAGCCTCAGCCACACATGTCCCATAGTCTTTTCCCTCACCTGTTCAGAAGTTTTGTAAAAGGCCACAGAAGCATTGACAAGTTTTAGCCGGTCTTCCATCTTCAGCATGAGCTGCTGCCAGTGAAGGGCCACCTTTTCTGCGCATTCCCGGATGGCATCTGCATCATAATGGCCGGCCTGGAGCAGAGCCTCAGCTTTCTGTTGCACCTGCAGGGCACTCTGGTGCGTCTTCTGCAAGGAAGTGGCATGAAAGAGGGACTGGGCACGAGGGGTGGAGAGCGAGGTCCGTGGGAACAACCCAGGCGTGGTATGGGAGGGGGTGGAGTGAGGCGTGAGTGGAAAGATGCAGAAAAGTTAAAGAGCTTTAAATGACTGATCCATTTCACCAAGATGATTAATACATTATTGTTCTACAGCATCTTTTAAACAAGAATATCATACACTTTCATCAACTAATATCTCATAACTCTAACTCCTGCCCCCATTCCTTACTTTCTGCTTGCATCTCTCTGGAATTTAAAGGCATCTCAATTTTCATGGTAGAGAAACTGAGGCTGTGTGTAAGTCTGCTCTTTTATTGGTTAATTAGTTAACTTTCATTTTCAAGCCAAACATAAAAATATCACTACATTTTCAGAGACTACTGATGCATTTTACAGATTACACATAGCATATTACAAAAACTATGTAAATCTCAAACAATAGTGCAAACATTTAAAACAATAAACAGTTTAAAAAGATTCCAATAGAAGGAATAAATTTGGCAGATTAATAAACTAAAGAGTAACCTCTCCTATCCTCCCTTAGTTACATCACCAAAGGAGTAGGGCAGACAGTAGCTAAGTCACTGAATACATGATATTTACATTTTATTTTAGTGCATATTTATCATAACTTATTTTTCAATGCTTTCTGATTTTGAACAAATGTGCTTTGTCTTCTCTGAGTTCACATTAACTGCAGGAGGTGGGGAGACCAGGCTGAGGGAATAGGTAATAGGAAGAGAATCACATAGGATTTCAAATAGGATTCCTAAGACTGATGTGGATGATCTACATGAGACTATCAGAGCCCAACTGACCTGAAGGAGCTAACAGCATTGCCACCTCAACTGCTGGGATAACTCCAGCCTAACAGTGCAGTACTAATTTGGCCTTTGTATTTTTAGGAAAGAATAGCTGATCTGGCAATGAAGAGGGATAGTTAGAAGCCCAGGACCTTACTCCAGAAATCATTTCTGCCCTGCTTGGGCAGGGCTGAGACTGTTCTCAGTGCTGAGATTGTTTTAGTCCACTCAGCATTCCCTGTCTCAGTACAATCTCTCCTTTTCACCACACTTGTGGATCCACAGCAATCTGCCCTTTGTCCTGACAGCAGGACTGCAGTCTACACACTTCTATTTTTTGCCAGTCTATCAACCATCATTTGGCTTTTTTCCATTTTCTCCTGAGTTGGTAGTAGCTCCACTAGTGGAACTTCCTCCAGCAACCCAGGCCCCTTCAGGTCCTTGCCTTCTCACGGTCAGTTCTTTGTCCTGAATAACATATCAGCATCAGCATTCACCTCCTAATTGTTGAGTGCAGCTAGAAGAAGTAAACTAATGGGTACTCAGGGACCCACTTTGTTCATTTATTTGTTCATTCATTTATGGATGTTGGGAACAGAACTGAGGGTCGCAAGCAAGCTAAGGTAGAGCAGCATGCTCTATCTTTGAGTTACACTTCTAACTCATCCTCTTCTCCTTCATTATTTTACATGTTCACTTAATTTTCTACAGTAGGAAGTGCTTCTACTAGATGATTTCTAACATCCTTTCCAAATTCAAAATTCTGATTTTATGCTTTAAATATCACTCCCTTCTGTCAATTCAAAAGCTTGGAGTGTTTTCCCTCATTGCTATGAAAGTAAGTCCAAAATTCAAGGCTGACATTAAAATTACCTCCAATTCTGTAACATTATTACCTACTGCTTTTTTTCATAAACCATTTGAGAGCACACCATGCATGTTCTTCCCTTTGCCACCATCCTTCCTTCTGTCTTTGGTGAATGCCTGGGCTTTCTGTGTCCCAGCTTTTCATTGATACTCTCCTTAAGTCTGCCCCCCTTCAACAAGGGGTTTTTGGAAGGCTTGAGACTCACTGGAAACTACTCTTTTGTTCCCCTCTGTCACTCACCTAATGCTTGGCTCAACCCTGTTACTTAGACTGTGAAACTCAAGGCAAGAACAGTTTCAAAAGTCATTTAAACAGCTGTCATTCATCCAAGGGAACACTCTGTGCTAGGCCCTGTACTCATGCATATATTTTCTAGCTCTCCCAACATAACTACAAAGTGGATATTCTTTTCTCCAGCTCAGATTAAGAAACTAGTATTCATTTGGCTAAATGACTTAAACAAAAATCTATAACCAAGGAAGTAATGAAACCTGGAATAAAACTGAAGTTTGAAATAAACTATGAAGTTTTATTATGTATGTATCCATTCTACAGGCAGACATATAAATATGAATAAATATTTAGTATAAAATTTCAGAAAAACAAAAGAAGAAGACTGAGGTTTGACCTAGTTTCAGACCTATTTTCTTTCCACTAGCTAGCACCATATCATTTTATCTCCAGGGTTAGAAGAATTCTCCTTTGGAGGAAGGGTTACCAGATAAACAAGTAATTACTGTAACTATCTAGTCTTTTATCAATATACAAAACCAGCATGTAACAGTCATCATAAACCGTTATTATGTCTTTTACTCTCAGAGTGGAGCAGTAGCCTGGATTTTCTTCTAATTTATGCTATGTAATAAATTCTTTCTTAATCTGAAACACATTATCTGACAGCCCTAAGAACTCCTTCCCCCTTTATTTTTCTGAGTGATAAAGTCTTACTAACATGGCATAATCTTTGCTTCGCTGAACTAAAGTCATTATTTTGCATTTATTTCTATTTCATATTATCTAATCCTATCGAGTGTTATAACTTTAAGACATGGATTGTGCTCGCTTCGGCAGCACATATACTAAGACATGGATTGTTAAGGGCATTACTGTTTAGTAGAAGTACACAGGAGAAAATTGGGGGGAATTAATTGAATATATTGACCAGTTTTACCTACTTTTTGGCATAATATTTATATTTAAAATGCCAAGGAAGATTTCAAATAAAAATAGGTTTTAAAACTCAGCTTCTCTCTATGAAGTTCATAGGCTCTGAAGACAAATCTGATTTATCCTGGATACTAACAAGAGATAATCATCTAGGGTTGCTTGGTAAAGCTGTGCTGTCTAATGTTCACTGCTTACGTTCTGAATGACTCTGGGGAAGTCTGCCTAAAGTCAAGGCTGATTCAGGTAAACATTTTGACTTTCTTTGGGAAGATCAAAGCCTTCAATCTGATGCAGCCACTCAAGCTAGGGTTAGCAGATATTTTGGTGTTTCAGTATAGTTCTGGTATGTGTGTATTTTTCTGCCGTGGTTGCCAGTAATTCCTTCCTTCACTTTTAAACGTTTACACAATAGATAATATCATTATTCCAGCACTGGCTCTTTCATTTTTTCTGATGGAACTTAGGGTTCTTTTTTAGGGTTCAAGAAGACAAATTCTGTTCCCTATAAACAATCATATAAAGCCCTCCATAACACCATCCAAATAGATAAGTCAAACTAGACTATCTGTACTCCTTTTAAAGTTGCTCATGTCCTCTCTGGAGTATTTCCCTTCTGATGCACTATCTGATCTATACTTAAAGAGCAGTACAGGCCCTCTGGAGAAGGAGCATATGTTCAAAGAGGTTCTACTCTCCTTGTTATTCTAACATGCTGTAGATCCTGCTTCCTCCCATACCCAATATCTTCCAGTGCTTTTGTCTGCTCTGTCATGCCTTCCTGAGACTACAGACACCAAGCTAGAAACACCTTTATCTCACCATCAATTCCAAGAATATTTGATTGGCTTGTACCTATATAGAAACCCAGCATTGATTAGGAAAGGATTATGCTTAACGAGTCTCTATGCCTTTATGCTATAAGAGTGGCATCTCATTAGAAATTAGTATGATATATATATATATATATATATATATATATATATATATATATATCCATGTGGGATTTGGTCATTTCAATAGCATTAAGAAAGTATTTGTTCACGTTCTCCTGCCAGCTCACTGAGATAGTCAAGCATGCTGTGCACTTGATCTTACTTACCAAACATTACATTAAGGGACTGGAATTGTAGTCACCTGATTGGGCAATGTAAACCTTTTCATTCAAGATAAATAAGCAGGCTGGAGATACATTTAAGTGGAATAAGTACATGCCTGGCAAGCACAAGGTCCTGAGTTTGATCTCCGCCACCACCACCAAAAAAGTTAAATAAGCAGGAGAATGGCCAAATGCAACATGTCTTATCTCTGATAAGCTCTTCTCATAGCTGGTCTGACTGTCAAAATACTCATAGCTGTCTTTATATACAGGACCTTAAGAATTGTGTGCCTGATGATAATCCCATCCTGATTTTTCTTTTATAATAATACATCCTAATACTATCATATTTTGATGTATCAATAGGCTTCAATAGAGCTGATGATAATAAAATTTCTGTCCCCTGGTTAATTCCTTCTTAGAATGATTTGCTCAAAATATGCAAGCAACATAGTTTATTTTTAAATCTTAAAAATCCTACATAGTACTTCTAGGACCAGTAATGGTTCCTAAGAATGTATCAAGTATCTTCTGGGAACATGTCTTTCATGTTAACTTAATTTTATGCATAAAAGGTGGTTTCAATACAATTAAATAGTTGAATTCGATCAGCATTAAGTTTAATATCATTAACAATCAGTTGGATAACTATTAAAAGACATTTATGGACACGCAAATTTTATTATTTTGGCTTATACAAAATTCTCACTAACAATAACTTTTTAAAAGAAAACAACATGTTTTCAGTTTTTATATACTTAGAAATGGGCTAAGTTCTACACTGAACCACAAGTAATGAGTAATTGAAGTTTTTGCTCTGTCTCTTTTCCCACTGGCACTGAACTTATTTTATTTTTAATATAGCTCCCTTGTCCCATTTCCTACTATTTCTCTCACACCGCTGTAAAGCAATCAACTTAAGTCTCTTAGGGAAGGACAATGCCCTAGCAGCAGAAAAGATAATTAAAGGTGTTATTTAAAGCAAGACAGCATTTATATATATTAGGTTATCATAAATGAAGTTTTATTTTAGGCTTTAAAGGTTCTGTTTGGTAAATTTCTAGTTGCAGTTGCTATCTTAAAAATCATTTATTTGGTCCAGGGTCTCACTACACAGCTTAGACTCATAGTGATTCTCCCGTCTAGCCTCCCCAGCACTGGGATTACAGGCATGCCCTACAACGCATGGTTTCAGTGGCTAGCCTGGAGCACCTGGCATGCCTGGGGTTCTGGAGTCAGCATGGCATGAGGTACCAGGGATCAAACCTGGGTCGTTGTGCTTGCCAGGCAGGTGCTTAGACTGCTGAGCTATCTCCCCAGCCTATGATTTTTGAAATCTCATTTCTATCAGAACAATTACTGTCAGTGAGGCAAACTAGAGCAAACTACTCTGAAGCTCATGGTCTTTGTTAACCCTTTAATGTCTATGATTCAGATTTGGAACATCCATAACAATGAAACATAATACAATATTTTCTCTTCAAATTCTTGGTTCTTGAATTTTTCTACATAACAGGAATTTCATGCAAAAACTAAAAAAAAATTTAATCTTTGGCATAAATGGGTTAAAAGGCAGACCTTCACCTATCAACTACATTTTTAAAAATAAGATACCAATTATTTATTTTCAGTTTTAGGTGATCTTCAATTAGAAGTAACTTCTAACCTTATAGCCCTACATTTTACACCTGGCACATAGTCCATTCTGTGTAAAAGCTCCTTAGAAGCAGAAGGTACCAAAGAACCACAAAGTCTCATCTGTAGTATGAACAGCTGACTTGTGATAGCAGGCTTTCTTGGGGAAGTGTGCCCCTGCATGTGCTTCCCCATTCATGAATAGGGGTGGGGAGGCTCTAGGGCCATTTCACAAGGAGTGAGGGCTCCAGCATGTAAAGCAATGCTCACATCTCAAGAATTTCCCCACCTAAAGTACAGAACAAAATGGTGACAGAAGACAGTGCAGCCAGTCTGGGGTGTTACCTCGATGGCCAGTTGGAACTGCTCGTGCTCCCGCTGTAGCTGCTCTGCCTCTGACAAAGAGCTGGCATTGACCAGGCTAGCATTGAGCATGGACTCTCCATTGCGGATCCATCCCAGGACCTAGGGCATTTGGACAAGCACAGAGGTAAGTGGACTTCAGCAGCTTTCCTGGGAGTTGTTACCTTTTCTGAGTGGTGCTTCAGTCAGAAGGCTCTCTAAAAGAAAGATCTTGTATGAGGTATGGTGGTGTATCCCTGTAATCCCTACAACCTGGGAGGCTAAAGTAGGAAGATCAAAGGTTGGAATCCAGCCTAGGCAACATAGTGAGAACCTGTCTCAAAAACATTTAAAAAAAATTGCTGGTGCCAGGTGTGGTGGCACATGCCTACAATCCCAGCACTAAGAAGGCTAAAGAAGGATAAGTGTTGTGAGTTCAAGGCCAGCCTGGGATACATAGTGAGTTCCATGCCAGTCTAAACTACACAGTTACACCTTGTCTCAAAATGAAAAAAGAAAAGCCCAAATTGTCTTTTTGTTGTTGAGATGGTGTCTAACTATGTAGCCCAGGTGGCCTCAAATTTGCAGTCCTCTTGCTGCAGTCTCCTGGGTAGCTGGAATGACAAGCAAGGACTACTATGCCTTGCTAGGGTTTTAAATGACCATCACCCTAATCTTTCTATTACCTTTGCCATAAGGAGCTGATTTTACATGCCAACTTTATTCCTGGCTCCATATATTATCTCTTCCCCCATCAGCCTTTGGTCCCAACTTCCTCACCCACTTAATTAAGCATGACTTCATCTAATTGTTTTTAATATATGTCTAAGTAAATACAATGGTATAAGTAAATAAGTAAATAAATAAATATTAACTGTTGATATTTTCTTTTTGAAAGGCCCAGTTCAAGTAGCAGTAACTTCTTGGAATCTTCTGCATCTAATCACTCCTGTTGGAAATAATATCCTCATCAAAAACAACCATACTCTTTAGTAGGTACCAATTTGAGGGCAATCACCACAAACCATCTCCTTCAGTCATTTCAACCTACATCTCATTCCCTCTCAGATTGTAAAATTCCTGATAACTGGGATAATCTATTGGTCATATCTTAATCTCAGATGGTACCTAGCACATTCCATACAGTGGGTAGAGTGCAGCACTGTTTAGAAATGGAGAATACCCAGTTATGCCTGGGCAGTGGGCCCAACCTCCTACACCTTACAGACCAACTAAGAGTAGATGGACTTGAGCTTTTGATACAATCCAAAGGAAGCAGGACATAGAAAGAAAAGAAGCAAAATCGCACAAAAACTCAGATAGTGGATCATCAAAAAAAGGGGAGTGAATTACAATCAAATAATTTAGTAGCTATGTATAAGTTAGATATAACTTCTTGATGACCTTTGTCAGTGGTACTGGGGGTAAGAAAACTTAGTTGGGGAATTTTAGGACAGGAAGAGAAACACCGAACACTGTCTAGATAGTCCTAGGTTATACACAGATGTGGCACTTATCTGCTAATAAAATAAGCAAAAATAATCCATCTGGAAGGATTAGGCTCTACCATGTTTGTCTGGTCACCAAAACATGGTCTTCATTTCTAGGCAGCTGAGTTTTTGCTTGGTGAGGAAATAAAAGTTATTCTGAAATTTCAGTATCAGTAAATTCCATCCATCTGTTACTTCATGCTAAAGGAGAAGACACCATGATCTGTTTCAGATTTGCTTTCAGATTTTCTGCTCCCCTCAACCTCATGTTGAACAGCTGAAAAACACTAAACCTTCTCTCCTGCCTCAACTCTCACAGGCATCTTTCAAACTTCATCATTGGAGAAGAAAATGACTGATCTCTTATTTTGTGTAGATAACACTTGGGCATAAATCCTGCTGGAGCTGGGTTATTTGGATTGAGAGTTAATTCATGACCAGTCTGTCAGAACATAGCTAAGACACCACTCTGTGAAGCAATTAGTTTCATAAAGCAACTGCTTGGCATGTATGTGTGAAACCTTTGTCCCTGGGGGACTGTGGCTGGCTGGCTAGAGGTGCTAATGATTTTGAAAAACTGCCTGCAAGTTTGGGTATGTGCATTCATAGATCGAATGCCTAAATGTTTCCTCTCTTTGGAAAATAGAACTCATTATATACATCTTGAACTATGTCCTTGTACCATGTTTCACTGCATGACACTTAGTTTGGAGATTCTTTTAAGGGTGTCAGAAAAACACTTTCTCCACATGCATCACAAATCAATGCTCTGTCTGGGCCCCTGAGTCTTACTAGACTACTTTCTCAAGCCAACTGGAAACATCAGTTATAGCTGTGGTGCAGGGGCTACCTTTTACCAGTGTTCTATTTAGAAATACAATATGGTGCAGTTCCTACTTTTTTTTAATCAATTCATTCCGTATCTTTATTTTTATTTTATTTCCCAAATGCTGCTTATAAAAGCATTCTAGTTCTTTGAAGTACTAAATACTTGTTTTTCTGGAAGATAACAATGCATGCATTTTTAAATGCACTTAGATCCACAGTTTTAATCCATGATGACACTGATCCTCAGGAACAAGTTAATGCTAGAAGTAAAACTAGCAAAGTATAGACAGAACATAAAATTTGAAGTAAAAATACAGACTTTGTTATCTATCAGGTAAAAGTCATTTAGCCTTTCTAAATTTCAGTTTTCTGTAAAAATATGGATAATTATACATTTCCTTTCTGCATTGCAGAGTTAATGCAACATATTTAAAGATGTAAAGCTTGATGATGACAATGCTGTTGGTGTTAGTATTGGTGTTCACTGTGATTTTCAGTTTGGTGGAAAGCTGAGTAATGTGATTTTTCATTATACTCTTCCCAATTAGAAAAAAAAATAGATATATTAAGCTCTATTGAATAATTTGAACGTACTTACTGGCATATTCTTTTTTTTTTTCTTACTGGCATATTCTGATCCAATGTAGTTTCTTAAGATTGTTGTTAAGCACTCTATACCTTGATCACCAACAATCTTTTAGTATGATTTTATGTTACTAAGATATTTTATCTTTCTTGTTGTCATACTTGTTATTATGCTATGAACATTCAAATGTGTGCTAGGTAGTAGAAGAAATATTGTAAATAAATATGGAAATTATACTGATCTCAAACTGTGTGATTTTAAAGTGTTATTTAATCTAAAGCTTAGTTTTCTCATCTGTAAAATGTGAACATTTACTTGCCTAAAGCAAAGGGTAAAGAAAACTTGAAATAATGTACATATTTTTCAAATCATAAAATTAACATTTTATATAGATCGGTTATCTGAGGTGATGATTTGCCTAATGGGAGAGATTTTTTAAAAGATCATTTCCTACTTTAACATTCCATACTTCTTTCAAATTTTAAAGACATCCCCTGGACCCTTAGGGTTACAGAGAAAATGGGGTAGATAGAAATGAGAGATTGGTGTAATACTGCTACTTAGAGCTAGGCCAACAGTTCAGCTCGGCCTGAGATTAGACTAAAATTGCTACCTATTATTTCCTCATGCCAAGGAGGCTCAGACAAGCTAATATTGGGAGAGTGGATTGGGGTAACTGGACATGAATGTCCACACACAATAATGCCATGTGAGCTGGCCAGGCTAGGCCTTGCGATCATGTGTCTGCGGAGGCTGCTTGCACATGACTTGAGGTCACATATCCTTAAGGTCACATCTATAATAAAGCTATGGGGTTGCACTTAAAGCAACTGACTCTAAGAACTACTACTGGAGATGACCTGTCACAGGCATTTTTGAAACTTTTGCCACAGAAAAAATTCTCAGCTCCTCAGGTGGTATCAAGGAGCCTATCATAATTCTAGAGTTCCTTACTACTAAAATTCATGATCCATTAGATTGTACATATTAACCCTTCATGGCATTACAGTAGTACATGTTTGCAATACATAGTGAATATATTCACCGTGGGGAGCTGATACATACACATATTGGTTGCCCCCTTCTGGATCTGCCCCAACTTTAAATTCTTACACAGTTACCAGAACTAAACACAGTCCTCTCCATTGAAGCATAAGGCCAGGCTAATCTTTTTTCCTTTGTTTTAAATGTCTGTCTTGATTACATGTAAATTTTAACCAGCATTTAGCCCAAAGCAGCAATCCAATAACTTATAAATTCATTTTAGTTTTTTTTTCATTAAATATACTGCTCTGCAAAAATACATATAGGAATTCTCTTAGTTTTATGCCCATTTAGTCTTCTTTTAAAAAATCTTCCTGAATTATTTAACAGATGCAAGGTCATCTTTACCTGAATAGCAACGTTCCTAGAAACAAAGAATTCTGTGAGGCCTGGAAGTAATCTGAGGGGCTTGTGGGTGGTCTAAGGACCTGGACCATGTTGTGTAATCAGGGGAGACATTGCTCTTCAAGGTCCAGGTTTTTGCCAGAGATGTGGAGAATAACTTAGATATAAGGTCCTATGTTATCCCTCAGATAAAAATCTATTACATTCATCAATTTCATTTGTTCTGAACATTTAAAGGTAGTTTTCAGCTTATTGTGTGCATTGTGACTCTAAAATTTCAGTTTCATATATAATTTCAGTATAGCTACACTTAAGGTTATGAGGGTCACATGGTCAAATCCAAACTTTTAATCTATGAGTTCTAACAACAGAGCTACATCACAACACATTACTGTTCTCTCCCTTTCGGTCTGCACTGATGGCATCTCAATTAAGATAGCTTTCTTTTCTTTTCTTTTTTTTTTTTGAGAGTATATTCAAGAGAAACTCTGAAGTCAGTAGCTAAATTTAGCTTCACTGATCAATACTGACATCTAAATTAACTCCCTTTTCCCGAGTGTCAACAGCTTCCAAATCAATATTTCTTGCTCCACCAATCTCCATCAAACACAAATGCCTTCTCTAAAACTGAATCAGTCCAATCTAAAAGAAAGAACCTACCCTGACATGGAAAACAAGGCTGTCTAATGAGGCATGATGGTTTAACCATGCAGCAGTCCCTTGGCTCCTTGAAAGGCCACTGTCTTTTTCAAAGGCTTTTGTAGGTTTCTTCAGAGTTGGACTGGAACAATTTTGTATAGTTTGGAACTACAATCCCACTGTGTGTCATCTCTGCCATGCTAGGGAGAAGGCACTTCCCCACCCTAATAGAAGAATTCTTTAGTTCTCCAACTAATGAAACTATGAATGGAATATATGCAGATTTTTAGTCAAACAAGGTTCATTTATGTATAGACAGTCTAGTGAACTACTTGACAAACTATCTATGATCATCTCAGGCCCCAACTTATATAGAATGTATATCTCAACAACGAAAATTTTTCATTTAATATCAGCTGATAAAAACATGATTAGGAAATAAAATCTTTTGATGCTGGAGTAAAAAAATAAGTAAAAACAAGGTAAAAAAGGAAAACTGTATATTTCATTTCTAAGTGAAATAGGAATGATTTTTCTGTTATCTGTATGTTCATGTAATTATTTTTGTTATTTTCTGTACTAGGCATGAAAGCACAGAAAGACTGATAACCTTCCACAGCCTGGCTTACCTCAGGCAGGTGCCACTCTTTCTGTAGGATGTCTTTTCATCTACAGTGCTGGTAAGGACAGGTAAAACTCAAGACTGTTTTGGTTGTGGGCTTTTCTCCATTGCTTCTGGGATGGTTGGTGGATGTGGGGCCTTGTAGAGGTAAATCTTGGACTTAGGAGGCCTGGGTTCAACTTTCAGCTAACTATTCAAGAGGCCTTGGAGATCATTAATCCTATGGTAGCTCAGTTTCCTCATTTATAAAATAAGCACAATATTTCTCTTCCTCCATGGGCCTGTTCTATTAAAATGAGATCATAAATGAGAAAGTGCTTCTCTATGAGCAGAAAGTAATATAGTTATTACTAAAAGTTCAGAATCTGTATACATATTACTACTGCTTTTGGCCTGCTATGATTTCATGAATAACATGTCTGTCTAGAGACTCAGGCATGATCCTAGTGTAATTAAACAGAAAACACTGGGATGGCAGCTCTGTGATCTGCCCTCTTGTGGGCCTCAGTGAGTTCATCTGCCCTGGACATAGACTTTCAGCAGGGAATGTGCCTGGACTCTTGTTAGGAACTGATGGGGAGAGAAGGGGAGTGGGAAAGATAATTTTGACTGATGTAACAAATAGCAATGTAATAACTATGACATAGGAATTAGCAAGAGACATCCTGAAATCTAAGTGACTGAGCCTTAGTTAAATAAAATATAGTTTTGTTCCTTGTGCTAAATCAATACATTTATACCTAAAAGCACTGACAGACACTGAACACAGGAAGGGGTTTAAAAGTGGAAGATATTTTTCACTTGGGATAGTTTGGGTTGGGCTCCGTGGAGCAGGGTGGTAGGGTTGCTTAGGACTGTATGAAGCTGACAGCAGCAATCACTACAGTTGAACAGTGTGGCACTTGCCCTGATGGGAGGTCACTGTAGATCATGTAGGCTGACATTGTGTTTTCTCCTTATTGTTGGTGACCCCTCTAAACATGTGGGTTCTTCTGTGCTAAAGGAATCAGTATCTTCTTGAGTGAGTGCTTAAGGGTAGGGAGAAAGGGCACATAGAAATAGAATAATTATTGTACATTCATTTCTTCAAGCTGATGTTGTAAAAAAAAATCCTCCAATCATTATGTTTACAATAATTACCACTGGGTCTTCTCATAACAGTAATATTGACAAATGTGCTATTGGTCAATAGGTGTATATTCCTGGAGATCTGAGTGTGTCTTCTAGTAAAATACTTGGTATGATGCCTCATGCATATAAGAATTCCTTCTTTCTGTTTAAAATCAACTTTAAAATGAAAAGAAATGGTTCTTTTAAGACTCACACATACATTGGAAACGGTGATGACAACTGCTACTGATTAATGACTACCAACTATATAGTGCCAATACAAGTGACACAAATTAATCAACCTGCTTTAAAGCCTGAATGTTGGGCTGGTGGGATGGCTCAGTGGTCTAAAGCACCTACCTAGAACAAGCTGAGCTTAGAGCACAGAGACCGCGGTTCAATTCCCCAGCACCATATGCCAGCCAGCCCTGCCCCCTGGTGGGCTGAGCTGGCCACACACACACACACACACACACACACACACACACAAATAAATAAATAAATAAAAAATAAAGCCTGAATGTTTATTGATAAAAATAAATTGTGTTTCTGATAGAAAATATGAGACAATCAATCATAGGGAAGAAGTTCTAGAATAGAATCAATAACAGAATAATCTGGGAAAGCTCTGGAATGATCTCCCTAGATTGTCATGTGAGAGAAAGCACATTTATAGTTTGAGCTCTTGCACCATTAAATCTATTTGTTAAAGTGGCTTGCCTCAAGTAGTAACACAACTCAACCTTACCTTACCTATTTCCAAGGTGTGGATACTGAAAGAGTACACCTGTGGTGTGGCTGTGGGTATCTTACTCATAGCAGGAACAGGCAGTAGGCCAGGCTCACCTGTTTGACCTCAGCTTGGAGGTGCCGCAGTTGGAGACACTGCTCTAGTCGCTTGTGGGTCTGCTCTGCATTGAGCTCCAATTCATGCTGCTTCTCATGGAGAAACTCCAGTAGCTCTTGCACTTGGGCTGCCAGATCAATGTCTTTTTCACAGATTAGCTCAATTCCTAATTTTAAAAAATGTAAACAAGAAAAAAGCAAGTAGTACTGTGAAGATATTTCCTTAATATAATAAGTGGAATTTGGAGTGGCTATTATTAGTTTTTAACCTCTACATATACCTCTGTACAACTATCCACCTCTGGAAGTACATCCCTAGATAAGAAAGTACCTGGAAGTTCATGGTGGGGGACTTGCTAACACCCAGATTATTCATAAGCAAGCTCAGGATCATATTGCAAAATATCCACCCCAATAAAAACTCTGTCTCAGGAACTTCTGCCTATGGCACATTCTATTTTAACTAATCATATGTAACCTATCATTAGATGGAAAGCTCACTATGATTGAGTAGTTGGGAAGTGATGATTTCATTAGTCAATTAACAAGTTAGTTTTCAAACATCCAATAAACACACTCCAGCAGGACAACAGGGATGTTGAATACTTGCTTATTTAAAATAATTACATTTAAGTTTTCTCCACATAAAGAATTTGCCTGTCATTCTACTGGTTTAAAGCACTCAGTAAGTTAAACCAGCCACTGACAAGTGCTCTGATTGTTTATGGATATACCATACAAAATTAATAAAAACACCAGTTTCTAAGGGGAGACTTGAGCCACTATCTGCCAGCCAAAAGTTATTTCCATCCCCTGTCTACTTTCCTGTTTTATTTAATTATTTAAAAATTTTTGTTAGTTCATGTTTACAGTAAAGTTTACATTTTTATGTGGAGCTGGTACATATACATAACACATCTTAATTCCCTTTTTCATTTTCTTTCCCTCTCCTGCCTCCTTTCCATATTTTGATCACCTTCCCATTGGAGAAAGATTTATCTGCCCACTTCTTATTATCTTTTAGTTTGCTCTTTATTTATAGTTTGAGATTTTCATATAAGAGAAGCCCAATATCTTAAGCCTGTGTGTCTCATTTATTGCACTTAACATTATGGTGTCAAGGTACATTCATTTTCCTACTAATGACTCATGTTTATCTTTCATTATGGCAGAATAGTACTCTGTTGTGTATAAGTGCAACATTATCTTTATCCACTCATCTTTTGATGAACATGGAGGCCACTCTCCAGATTTATCTATTAGAAATTATGGTACTATAAACATAGGAATGTATGTATTGCTGTAATATGGTGTCTTTAACTCTTTTGGGAACATACCAGAAAGGGAATAGCTGGGTCAAATGGAATTTCTACTTCTATTTTTTGAGGAAATCTCCATATTGATTTCCATTGCGGCTGTACTAGTTTACATTCCCCCCAACAGTGTAGAAGGTTCCTTGAAACCTCGCAAGCACTTATTTGATTTCTAGATGATGGTCATTCTTTCTGTATGATAAAATGGAATATCAATGTTATTTCATTGTGGTTTTTTTTTCTCCTTTTGGAGACAGGATTTCACTATGTAAATTTAATCTGACCTTGAATTTCCTATGTAGCCCATGCTGGCCTCAAATTTAAACTCATAGTACTCTCTTGCCTCTATCTTCCCCGTGCTGAGAATACAACTAGTCAATTATGACCAGCCTCAGTTTTGTTTTAATTTATGTTTCTCTAATGGTCAGCAATATTAAGCATTTCTTCATGTATTTATTAAAAATTTGGGCTTCTATGGAGTGTCTGTTTATTTCACGTGCCCAGTTTTTTTGATGGATCTTTTAGTTGAGGGGTCTAATTCTTTTGAGTTCTTTACATATTCTAGTTACCAGTCTTGTCTGAAAATAGTTGGTAAAATGGTTTTGCCATCCTATAGGTTGTCTTTTCACTTTGATTTCTTTTTCTATATAAAGGCTTTTTAATTTAATGTGATCCCAATCTGTTGACTCTTGGTACTATTTCCTGCGCAACTGGGATTCTGTTCACAAAGTCTTTGCCTACACCTATCTATGACTTCAAGAGTTACTTCAAGAGTTTATTTTGCCTGCCAGAAGTTTAAGTGTTTCTTCTTTAACAGTTAGTTATTTGACCCATTTTGATTTTAGTTTAGCACATGGTGAGATATATGGGTGTAGATCCAGTCTTCTGCATGTAGACAGCCAGTTTTTCGAGCTATTTGGCTGGCCCTGTATAATCTTTTTGATGATTCATTGCATTCTATTTGCCAGTATGCTGTAGAGGTGTGTCTATATTCATTAAAGAGACTGGTTTATAGTTTCTCTTATTGGTTGCATTCTTGTCTAGTTTTGGAATTAAGGTAATGGTAGTTTTCAGATATGACTTTGGAAATATCTCCCTTTCAGTAAAATGTTTGAGAAGTATGGGTGTTAGATCTTCCTTGAAGTTTTTGTAAAACTTAGCAGTGAATCCATTTGGACCTAGGCTTTTCTTAGTTGATAGGCTTTTATTACTTCTTGAATTTAATTGCTTATTATTTAATAATTCAGAGTTTTAAATCTTGATTTGGTTGATAATTCATATATATATAATATATTATATAATATATTATATATAAAAATTCTAGGAATCTATCCATATATTTTGAATCATCCAATTTATTGGCATACAGGTTTTCAAAGTAGTTATTAATAGTTTTTATTTTGGCAGTATCTGTTGTGCTTTAATCCTTTTCATTTCTAATTGCAGTGACTTACATCCATTACTTTCTAAGCTACGGGCTTAAAAAGTGTTTATTTATTGTATTTGTTCTTTTGAAGAACTATTTGTTCATTGATTTTTTTCATATTTTTTGGTCTCAATTTCATTGGTTTCTACTCTAATCTTAATAATTCCATTCTTTGCACTAGCTTTGGATTTGAACTGTTCCTGTCTTTTAGGATCTTGAGATACATTAGGCTACTTGGGCTGGCTCTGTTTTTGTGACATGTGCATTCACAGCTATAAACTTCCCCTTTAGGACTGTTTTCATTGTGTTCTATATGTCTTATGTTGTACTGGGATTATTGCTTAGTTCTAGAAACTGTCCTCTTCTTGTTCTATTCAGTAACTCATTTATTTAAGAGCAATACCTATTGTTTAGTTTCCATGCATTTGCATAACCTCTCCATTTTCTTTTGTTCTTAATTTCTAGTATCATTGTGTTATGATCTGGTAATATGTATGGTATGACTTCAGTTCTTTTACATATACTTAAGCTTGCTTTATTGGCTAGTGTGTAGTCTATTTTGGAGAAAGTGCCATGTGCCACTGAGAAGAATGTGTATTCCGTTATTGTATGGAACACTGTAGATATTAAGTGCATTTACTTGGAGGTTTTGTTCAACTTGGTTATTGATTTTTGTTTTGTTCAGTTAATACAACTGCTTGTGACAGGTAGGGTATTGAGATCCCTCAATATAACTGTGTTTATATTTATCTTGTCTTTTATGTCCAGTAGTACTTGCTTTATGATTTTTGGTGCATATATATTTTAATAATTGTTACCTCTCTCTGTTGGATTGTTCCCTGAACCAATATGTAGTGACTGTCTTTTCCTTTTTTTTTTTTATAGTTTGACTTTAAGTTCACTTTGTTTAAATACAGGATAACGATACCTGCTTTTTATCAGGTTACTGTAGCATGGAATATTATTTTCCATCCTTTTATTTTTAGTATATGAATTTCTTTTGGGGTTAATTGTGTTTTTTGTGTAGTATAGTATATCATTATATTTTGTTTCTTGATCTGTTCTGGCCATCTGTGCCTGTTGATTGGGGAATTAAGACCATTCACATTGAGAGTTATTACTGATAGGTATTGACTTATTTCTTTGTTATATTTTTCTATTGCTAATTCCCTTTACTTAAATACTCAACATACCTGATGTTATTTCTTAGATTAGACCTTTTGTCACTGCTAACTAACTTCCTTATTTTTCTCTAGGATAGCCTTGAGATTTTTTTCAGTGCTGGTTTGGTAGCCATGAACTTGTTAGGTGGCTCTATCACGAAATTATCTTATTTTTGCATCAGTTTTAGAGAACAGTTTTGGACAACAGTTTTGTAGGATATATCAGTGGGTGGGGGGCTGCTGCATGAACCAGGGTGGGCCTGCTTATTTGCAAAGGCAGGGAGTGCTTCATGGTCTGGCAGAGTTCTCTCCTCATCACACCAAGGATCCTACTTAGACATTACTAGCAGATCCAAAGTAGCCTTACTTCAGTGGATTTCTGCATGGAAGGATCATTTACAAACTGTGAGACTGAGTAGTGAGTTGCTTTAGTTACCTTCAGTTACCTGCTTTTTGTCTGCAGGTAATGTGACTCCGAGTACTTACTATTTAACTCTCTAGGACAATATGAAAATGTACTAGGTTTAGAACTACTCCTTACTTAAAATCCTAGTACTGGAGATGCTACCTAAGCTCCAGAAGCTTTATTTTCTTCATATGCAAACTAGGCTTTTACATACCTATCTTATAAGCGATCTACTTATTAAACTTATTGGGAGTATTACATGAGATAATGCATTTGAATCATATATTGTATACACGTATATTTATTGTGTACATTTCTGTCATATACAGACAATCAGCATATATCAATAAACATGTAATAAGTATAGGTCACTGCTTCTAGTTCTACTTTTTTGTTGTTTTATTTGCTTTTTTTCTTCAGTTCTTGACTCTCATTTTAAACTTTCAACTTTCTGCCTTCTTACATTCATGACTTCCTGGTTCCCAAGTGTCACTGACTTAATGGAAGTTGCAATTTATAAAACTTTCTTTTTTGATAATTTCTATTTAATCTTTTTTTTTTTTTTTCCAGAACTGGGGATTGAACTCAGACCCTTGTGCTTGCCAGGGAAGCGCTTATTCTATTGAGCCATCTCCCCAGCCTCTATTTAATATTTAAAAAAATTTTATTTTAAAGATAATATAAAAATAGTAAGAATGATACAGAATTTCATTCCTTTATTCTGACTGTCTTTCTATTTCTGATTCAGCTTTGGTCACAGCCTTAGCTTTGGGAAAATTCTAACTCTAAATTGCTTACTCTGATGTCTAACTCTGCTTGGCACTACAATCTCTTAGTTCTGTACAAGTTTTTCTTTAGT